GTCTTGCTGGATTACATTTATGAAAAATAGGCTGGTCCTAATTTCACGAAGTAATTCCTACAAGTGTGTGCCAACCTTGTGAAGACTTACAGAAAACGTTTGACCTCTGTCATTGCCAACAAAGGATATACAACAAAGTATTGAGATGAACTTTTGTTATTGACCAAATACTTATTTTCCACCATTATTTGCAAAAAAATTCTTTAAAAATCAGACAAAATAATTTTCCCAAATTTTTTTTCACATTTTGTCTCTCATAGTTGAGGTCTACCTATGATGTTAATTACAGGCCTCTCTCATCTTTTTAAGTGGGAGAAGTTGCACAATTGGTGACTGACTAAATACTTATTTTCCCCACTGTACATGTCCGTAATGCACACCCGCTGTCCGAGTCAAGAACCAATCAAATTTTGTGAAGACAAGCGATCCGAGAGCGCGATTCACAACGCTGCGATCGCTATCGCATCCCGTGTGTCGGGTTTCACCCTGGCTGCGATGACAGCCGTTAATCGCTGTAGTTTGTCGCTGCCCGTGTGTCGAGCCCTTAACAGAGACTGTGGAGAAGAATCTGATGTTTCTTTAGATTATTTTGAGTTTCTATCAAAAGCCCTATTCTGACGGGATAAGAATTATCTGGGGACCCCGTGTAATAAATAAATTACTCCCCGACGTCTGTTTTTATGTGGCGCATTCGCACGGTTATAACCAAAGCCTGAGATTTTCCTGAAATTTACAGACATCTCCCGAATGTGCTGAAGCCTAGTTAGTTGTTGTCTAGTTAGTTGAACACGGCATTGAACGGACGTTAAAAAAACAAACATCAAATAACCATCTTCCAACCTGTTCTGTTAGAAATAAGACTAGAAATAAGTTCTCCATTTTTTCCGCTMTCCTTTCCTCCAGCTTTACAGCAGGCACTGTCATCTCCACGGCCGACAGACCCCCACCCCCACACGTGAGTACGAATGGTGCGGATTTTTAGCAAAAATTATAGATTTTTGAGTCTCAGACAGGTAAACGTCCAAAGAGGTTGACATATATGAACACCTTCACAGCTGGCGAGGGTGCGTGCCCCGGGCGCGAGTAGCTACCCAAAGCGCAAACCTGCGCTGCACTACGGCCACAGCTCAACACTCAGCATCAGCCAGAAGGCTACAAAAAGAAAAAAAAAATATTCTTACCGTACAGTGAACCACCATTTGCATCTGATTTTGCCTCCTCTCTTCAGCCTTTTTTCTTTTTTTTTTTTATGCCATACGTAACGGGTCGGATTTTTCCAGCCCGGTGTTGTACGAAATTCAGTTCCCCGGTGAAAATCTGTTCCCCCTGTGTTGGGAGCGCCTCCCTCATATTAACCATTTAGGATTGGTCTGACGTTAAAGCTGGACCAGTGATTCTCTCTAAAGTTAACCAGTAGTAGGGCTGGGCGATTAATCGGATTTTGATCTTGATTACGATTTGGGTTTTCAACGATCATAAAAACATAATGATCCAAGTTCACAGTTTACGCTGTTTTGTGTTGTAAATCCAGTGCCACCTGCCAGTACCATGCTGCAGACTCCTTCCACAGCCAAAGTTTCACTTTGTCTAATTTTTTTCAAAAATATTTGAAATCCTGAGGGAAACACTGTTTAACAGCCATTGTTTATGTTCAATAAATTCATGCTATCAAAGTGAATGAATAATTTTGTTAAATAATATAGATCTCAATTTCAAAAAAAAAGTTGTGATTATAATTTCTGCAATAATCGAGCAGCCCTAACCAGTAGGGGGAACAGATTTTCTCAGCAGAACTGAATTTCGCACATCACCTGGACCCAAAAGGTTTTCAGTGCACATGAATTAAGAGTTAAAGTTTAAATAATATTGTTTTAATAAGCAAAGATCAGAGAGTTTAATTTATTAAAGAGTTCCCCTTTGATGTCAAAGGGCAACTGTTTCACTTTGGCTGAGCCAAATCCAACAGGAAAATAGGTCAGTTATGAGACAAAATGGGTAAAATCACGTGTATTACGCCAATTTTCTTAAGAATAAAGATATTTTCTTTGACTTTTTGTATTTGAAGGATAGGCATGTCACAGGTACTTTAAAAAAAAATTCAGATAAAAATTTTTTTTTTAATAAAGTCAAAAAACAGAGAAGCCAAAAACATACGTTTGCACAATCACTTTGAAAACTGGAGGTGTACGTGATCAGGAGTCTATAAACCAACCTTGACATGAAGAGGACATGGAGCACAGTTAATCCAAATAGACATATAGCACCTGATAATGTTCCAGGTCATGTTTTAAAGACTATACAGATTATATATCAGGAGATTGCATCACCATCTTCCTCAGAAGATTGGACGAACACAGTTCAAAACTGTCACCATTACCATGGTGTTTAAGAAAACAACTGCAGTTTGGTTGAGTCTCTCTGCGGTGTTTAAATACTTTAAACAACACGTCAAAGTGGTTCTACAAATTGTTAAAGCCAAATACATTCTTAAATATAATTTTGCACACACTGCTCCTTTATTTTTACTTATTTCCATGTAGCTGTAATGAATAAGTGTATGTGTGAGGGAACTAAAACAACTGGATTATTAGGAAGTCTTTGTTTCATTACCTGACTGGCCTCAGATGACAAAGACTCCAACTGACCCTCGAGTCTCATTTTCTCCTTCAGCACCTGCAGCATCTCATCATGGCCCATCACTGAACTCTCCAAAGAAACACTGAACCAAAAAAAAAAAAAACATAATGAAAGGAAATTAAAATGTCAAATTAGCTGACAAGTCCCTCATTACTGAAATAATTTCCTCTTGAGAACAGTTAGAAGAAGAAAACTACCTGCTGGAGAAACTGTCTCTGCGGCTTCGAGGTTCTGCTGCTCCTTCTCTCTCCTGGTCCATCTCCAGCAGCTGCTGCTCCTCGCTCGCTGCCTGAAGGACCTCTTGTAAAGACGGGAACTGACCCATGGCCTCTGGGGCAATCTCCCTTCCCTCCACATTGTACGGCCCTCGCTGCCTCTCCACTGCAGCGGAGAGCATCCCGTAGGTTCCCCTGGTGGACACGCTGCTATAAGAAGAGCTGTCGCTATCATTGCCATCGTTCCCTGGCCTCACTCCTGACTCACTGCCATCCACTTCTGACACGTTGTCACTGACTTGGAAAGAAGCTCTCGCCTTCAAATCCGTGCTGGACTCTGACACGACACTGACTTCAGACAGCGTGGACACAGAGCTAATGGTGGACTGAAGCGAGCCCGTGGTGTTTTCTGCTGCCATGATGACACTTTCTCCACTTCCAGCATCACTCTCTGGAGTTCTGTAGTCAGCCAAAGAGTGAATCTTACTGGGGCGAGGTGACCTGGACTTCTTCTCTTTAGGGGGTGGAATTCCCAGGCTTCCCAGTTTGGGGCCTCGTGGAACACTGGTCCTGAGGAAAGAATACTCCTTGGTCATGGCAACAGTGTTAGCACGGGGAAGGGCCTCAGGATGGAGCATRAGTTCTGGGTCCAAAGTACTGAATGGTCGGTTCTTGGCAGAGGTGCGATGAGACTGGGGAGGGGAATAACAATAGAAATTAAAGCTTTGGTTTTACAATAGCTGAAATTTTAATACTCTAGGTCTGAGATTCTTAACCTGTGGGCCACGAGCACCACCTTGAGGGCCTCAAAAGAACAACAGTTTTTAACTTTAGGCCGCGGGACCGCATTGATTTTGAATAAGGTGCGATACACTTTCTCTCTCTTTTTTTTAAAGCCACTTCAGTAGAAAACAAAACTGAATATTAGTTTCTTAATTTCTGCATCATCAGCGTTTTTCTTTTTTACACTTTCTCACCACTAGTAGCGGTGGTGCGCCACTCAGATGTTTAACAACTTTTTTAATGCGTAGAAGAAAAACCTTAGAAACTTGCCGAGAATGGAAACCTATTTTATATTAAAAGTAGAAGCAAAAATGAAGGTAACTCATCAAAAAATGCTAAAGTTGGTCACTAATATGAAGTACAGCCTCTGGTTCTACTATGCAATATTTTAAAAGTTCAAAACATTATCAAATATAGTTGTAGATACAACTACATTTTAATTTGCACTTTATCAGATTAATTTTTGTAATTTATTTTTAAGCATTTTGTCAAAARGCTGTTGTTACTGTTATTGTTTGTCACCAATATGAA